GGCAAGGACGCATACAAACTATGGACTCATGCAACACAGAATCCCGAAATCATAATGGACGCGTGGTGCGTGGTAATTAGACCATTGTCTAACTAGGCCCCTTCCACCACACCCATGTCTGCGTCAAGAAAATCAAGATCATCGTTGCTGTCGAGTCGTTGCTGGATGTGACGTGTCCTGAACGAACTACAGAACTGTAGGTGCGTGCCTTGCATTTTGTGCTCCATGTCTCATTTTTTGTCACGACTTTAGCATAATTTTCCCCATTATTATTTGTCATGGGTACTTTTCATGAGCATTTTCCTTATGACTTATTCCATTGGTCATGCGCTATTGAATGGTTTCGTTCAACGGCGTTCAGCGGCGCGTTTCGGGCCTCTTAAGCCATGTGTAGGTCATCTGAAGCCGTCGTCTGGCGCCACCGGCACTTCCAGAGGCGACCGAACATCTCAACATTGCCATTATCGAGCCAGATGCCGTGCTGCCGTGTAAGTGGCAGGCGGGGGTGCTGCTCACTGCAGTTGGCAGGTGGCGGTTTCGGCGCGCCAGATGCCGTGCTGCCGTGTAAGTGGCAGGCGGGGGTGCTGCTCACTGCAGTTGGCAGGCGGCCGTTTCGGCGCCCGTTCAGGCGGGATGAGGAAACGCCCAGCCAGCAGTTCCGGTTCAATGCTAATCGTAATATCCCAACCGTTCCTCAGTTTTTCGGTTGGGGGACGCCAGTGATCAGCCCTGAATGGGTGACCACTTGGTTTGGATAACCAGCCTTTTCCGGACCGTTTCCCGATATTTTCCCGCCTGGGGTGATCGGAGCGTTCCCCGGGGTGCCTGTGGCGACCGCTCACCAAAGTGACTTCCCGAAACAAATCCTGAATCTGACAGTCGCGCGGCATCGGAGAAATCCAAACTTTCCGCCAGCAATGTCAGAAGATAGGGGCTCGATCGAGGGAAGCTAATGAAATCCCCAGCATTTTACAACATGGTTTGGTATTCAGCGTTACGTAGTTTGGTACCCAACGTTGCGCTGTGATTCTTAATTTTTTTACTCATGTTAAAGCTCACTGCTATCGATAAAATACTTGGTCTGTACGGGAGCACGCTTGAGGGTCATCATGAGTGTTTCACATCTTAAAGTGTTGAAGTTCAGCTCCCACCTGATTAACCACGTTACTAGATGATCGAGCTCATTTTGCAGCAGCAGGCCATGAGCTGGGGACGTAATTGTAGTGAACATTTGTGCGACATTGGCACACAAAAGGCAGCCGGATTCAATTACGCACGGAACATTGCTAACAAGTGAAAAGGAGAGGAACCAAGAGTGATTCTTCTGGGACACCGAAGGCCACGGGTTCCCAATCGGAAGTGCTATCGTTCACCCTTTTATCATTTATTTTTTGTTACTTTTTTGTTATTTTTCAGAGAGTTGGGGGTTTTGGACCCTGCTCAATTCCCTACTCCGGCGGCCCCATGCCTTACTTTGGTGTTACTTAAGACACATTGGGAAGTTACATGCTGATGTTCATTTACAGCAAGGTCAGGTATAAAGCGCACGATATCCGATCCCTTTTTTATTTTATTCAAGAGCTGTGATGTTGTCACGACCCCGTCGCCCCCCCCCCCCCCCCGTTAGCGGCGCCGTCTCAGGTGACACCCACCACATATCATGATAAAACGAACCAGTGCGGCACTGTTTGCTTTGGTTATTCGATAGATGCATGACCGTAAAAAGATCAGCACTGGATGAAGGGGAGCAAAAGTGTAAAACTTTGTGCACGTCCTTTTTTTTGGGGGGGGGGGCAGCTGGGACAGACAACGAAAATGCCCAAGGTTTGTGTTTGTCAAAGGACTTAGCCCACCTCGTTTTAGCAAACCACAATAAAAAAGTGGTGAGGCAGCTTTTTATTTGAGTGGCATAGCATAAAATAAACCGTACATGCCCGCTCGCCGCTCACTGTGGCATCTCACGTCTCGCTAAAGATGTGTAGCGTTCCAGCTCAACACGCGCCCGGGTGAGCGGGGCCAATTTAACCTCTCCCCTTATAGGTTTTTTCCGGAATGGTTTCCGAACGACTCATCGTAGCCGTGTCAAATATTGCATAACTGTAGATAATTGAATAGAGGATTCTTAGGCAGTACAAATTTAGATGTTAAGTGTAAAGTCACTGACCTACAACGAGTTAAAGTTAGGCCATGGATTCGACGAATACAATTTCTGAGAAATCGTTCAACATAATGCAACAAAGTCTTAGACGAAGCCATGCACCTGTGAGGTAGCCTCTTAGGCAACACAACAAATGAATGAAGGAATGGAATTGACCTAAGGCAGGTATGAAGGTCGAACCACGGCGAAAACGAACCTGTCTTGTTACTCTAGAGCTATTAATTATACTGTGCGTGCTAATTTCTGGTGCTCATTGCGAATCTATTGATGAGAGGAACCGCATTATACACGTTCAACAGAATTCTGAGAGGTTAAATAGGTAACTAACTTAAAATTGCCCAGGTCAATGTATTGCTTTTAGGAGCGCATTGCCTAGCGCAGTCTTTGACGCTTGTTCAAATCCCAAACTCCAAGCAGTCTTGGAAGATTTGGTCACCATAACCCTCAAGAGCTCAGACAAGGTTAATGACCTTAAATGAGCATCAGTGGCCTTCTGCTTAGACCGGGCATCTAGGTTCTGGGGACGCTTTAAACACCACCTTGGAGTTTGACCTTTTTTGACCCTTTTTAACCAGAAGACCAGAAGATCATGACCTAAAAATCTCAAACTTGACGCAAGTAAGTTCATGTACAGGTTAATACGCTTCGTGAATTTAGTATCTCTAGCTGTCATACTTTTTAAGATCTCAGGGGGCCATGTTGACCCCCACCCGCGTGGGTGGGGGTCCTATTGACCCCCCACTCGAGTGAAGGGTATTCGACCGGCCACTCGAGCGCGTGTTAACATATTGGAGGGGCCAGTCAATATTACATAAGCCCAACTCCGTATGGGAGAGTGGGAACACCTTAAAAAAAAGAGCGCAAGTCAACACCCCTAGAGGGGAATGATCTCCGAAATCATCCACGTCGAAAACGCATGCGCGCAAGTCACATGTCCATACGACCACTACGAGTCGATCGGCGATAGAGACGCCGGCACGCTCGAACGGAACCGGAGGAAAAGGCGTGAAGGATGAGTGAATGCACGCGTACAGATATCACACACAGCAAGACGAATACGGTTGTCGACTTCAAGATTTCACCCTTCTTACAATTATTCGGGAACTATTCCAATTTCTTTTCATACAAAAACAAGTTCGCTTTTATTAATGTACTTTAAGCGCTCTCCGACGTCGGTAGTCATTTTGCGACCGATGAGGGCCAGTTTGACCACGGAGATCTCAAAAGCAAGAGAGCTTGTTTTTGGGATGCACCAGTCTTGTCGTAGTCATGAATTTCAGCACACAGGCTGCCTATGCCCTTAATTGACAGCAAAAACACAAATTTGTTTTTGTTTCATTTCAAAGACACCAACTTGGAAACAAGACATTTAGATGTTTGATAGGCGTGGGTTTGAATTCACTTAGTCAAATGTTTAGGCCCCAAGGTCACGGCCTGCTGGTCACATATTAGCCAACAAGGTGAGATAAAGTCAAACGAGGTCAAACAAAGTCAAACAAAGTCAAATTTCAGATCGGTGTACGAATTTCCCCCAGACTTTTTATACAACCACCCTTTCCCCGTGCATTTCTCAGAAGCAAAGGGCCGCTGGTGTGAATTTCAGGTCATTGGCTTTATTTGATCTTCAAAATGTCCAGGTGACGATGAATCTGCGACATTATGCTAATTTTTGAATTTCATTAAGCGTCAAGGATTACGTTAGGCGGTATTTCACTAAAAACAAACGATTGATCGAGGTCATTCTCGGTCAGTGACCTTTCTTCATCTTTATGCAACTCATGTAAAGCATTCTCTTGCTTCCCTTTAACCAAGAAATTTGAAATGAGCGTCAAAGACTAGCCCACACAGCAAAAGCCTATAGAAACACAACATGGCCAAACAATTTGGCTTTGACCTCGACCTAAAATTTATACCTGAATCAAGGCTAATGAATTAGTCTTAATCCTAAATTCGATTTTTCATTCGTAAACAATACCGTCTCAAAGATGCGTGGCTTCGTTTAGAACTCCGTTGCCATATCAGATTGACCTATGTCCTAGGAATTGCTTTCGCTGACAACCATGGCCTGACTTTGACCTGTCATAGGTCAGCTACTTAACAAAAGTAATTTGATGCCTTATACACAAATTAACTGTTTAATTGGCTACAACTATGCAAAGTGTGATGCGGCACCGTTGCGCCGTTCGGAAATTATTTCGGAATTTTTTTTTTAGTAAGGCAGTCAAATTCACCTCCACCCGAGTGCGTGTTAATTCTTCCCGCGTCAAAGCCGAACCTCCTTCGGCAAAGGTGGCTTATTCGCAATAATATGACATAAAAAACAAATAAATGCAGCATTTAATGAGGTCTATCATTTTGTGTGTACCCAGCTCAAAGACCAATTATCTTTTTACCTTTTAGCCACTAAAACCATAAATTGTACCCCGATGAGATCGAAGCAGGCCTCGCGACTCAAGATCACAACGTCACGAGATCATTTTAGGGAATATTGAGCACAAAGCATGTGTCATAACTTACGGACCACGAGCTTTTGTGTGATGAATATGCATCATTTGTATCATTGCGCTAGTTAATGGAACACACAAGTCAGTCATACCCTCGCGTCGTCAAGTTTTAAAGTTGTAGAGGCAGTATCTCAAAACCACTTGTCAGATCCAGAAAAAATTCAAAAAATATTGATGGTACCATATAGCCTTTGAAAAAGTTCATATCAAAATCTGGGACAAGAGAGCACTATGTCCCAGTTAACCCGCGCTTGGTACACCACATACAATTACTATATACCACGAATATCTTGCGACGTCATGAAGACCATTTAATCCGATCTTAGCCCTAGACATACCTGTGGGAGGGCGACACAGGCCTAACGTCAGCCCCCTTCCGCCGCGACCGCTGCCGGAGGCTGCACTCAACAGGTCGGTCCCCGGCCAACTGGGCGGTCCTCTCCGCCCGCCCAGATCGTTACAGTCGCGGACGATCAATGCCACGCCCCCGCCGTCAGAGCTGGCCCGCGGGCAGTACGTCACGCGCGCAGTCCCTGTCCCGGACTGGTCAGCTGATGCGCGTTTCGTCGAGATTGCGTGCGCTTCCGCGAAGCGCCGGACTGCCGGCCCACTTGTTAATTCGACCAACAGGCCCTAGGCAGAGATGGAGACCGCTCTTGGAAATTGGGTGGGGAGGGGGCCTGTCCAGGATCCAGGCGCCTCGAGCCCTTACGACCCGATCAACCGCAAGAGAGCCCGCTCCCCTTCCCCAACTTGAGAACATCTCGGTTTTTAGGCCACTTCATTTTGAGAGCGGCACACCGATCTCAATTTTTGAAAAGATCTTAAGCTTTTTGTGAAAACCCGCGCGCAGGCTTGGAGGCAGCTGGAAGCTTGTGACACTTTTTGAGTTGCCGAAGGTACACGACATTTTGGCTTAAGCTTATACAGTTTTTGCCGTTTGGACGATTACCTGATGTGTTTAAGCCAGTTTATTACGGCGTAATGGACAGCAGACCGATCCTACTCAATGACCCGTTTCATACAAAAGCTCACCTGTCTTTCATTGCGCATGTTGACGCACCAAAGGCGCGCATTCTTTTCTCTAGCATCCAAGCCTATTTGGATGATAGTCTGTTACCTTGTTACAACTTGTCTACATTTTATCATCCCCTCATCAATGTAGTCGCAGCTAAAATGATACTGGATCCATTTCGCTTTTGGTGCTAGTTTGTACAGTCAAAACAAGTTGAATATCTTTCGTATCTCCATGTGTGCTAAGGTATTTAGTTTTGAATTAGATCGTCTACGAATGATTAACATTCCCAAAGAGACCCAGAGAAAGCCACCAGTATCTTTCTGTGCCTAAGGCCCGCGGAGATTTGGGCAATTCCGCAACATTCGTGTTGATCAGCAGCACCGCTCCGAAAAGCAAAATTCCGTTCGAATTATTCCGACTTCAGTTGAGTGTTCGACAGGTATCTTGAGTATTTCCGGGGAGCTCGAAGTATGTCAGATTTGTGTGTGACGGTACCGGAACTCTTCTGGTCGATTCAGGGGTCCAGTCTTGTAGTCATGAATTTTAGCACATAGGTTGCCTATGGTGCTGCCGTAATGACTTATTTAATTCACTTGGCTACACTTACTACCTTAATTGACAGCAAAAATCTCGTTTTTACTTTTTCATTCATTCCGGCCACTTTTCTCTGCGCTGCCCGCCCCGAAAATATCCCTTCTAGGGGGCAGCCTGGACCCGCCGGACCCGCTCTTCAGAACCCCAGGTTCAATGCAGACGGCTCGTGAGGTTTTCCGGGGCCTGGGGCTTTCCAGAGGGCCTTACGAGATTTCCAGCCATGTGCTGAGTTCCAGCCTGAGGGGTAGGTCAGGCGCCGAAAGGCTTTTTAGTGGAAAAAGTGACCAATCGCTGGCTGGACAGGCCTTTGAGCGACAAGAAGGGCGCTGAAAAGAGAGCCCTTGACGTGTACTTCTACCACTGAGTGTCCAGAGAGCCCCTGAACGGTCGGAGCAGCAAATAAGCAACAAAAATATCCCCTTTGGAGCCAGAACGACTCTCAGGAGTACGTCTCTTCTCGTGCCTCTTGGAGGCGGTATAGGAGCGGCGAAAGATGCCCCGAAGTGCTAATAAAACCATTGAGATTCCGGAGTATAGCGAGTGCACGGCTAAATAACCCGGCGACCAAACGGGCCATTGAACAGACCAGTGGGTCCTGGGTAGCCAGATTAGCACTAAAGTGGTCGGATGGGCCTTTGAGCGATTAGAGGTGTCCGTTGGTGGCCGGAGGACCCTCAGGCGGTCACTGGAGCCCCCGAACAGTCACCGGAAACGCCGTTGGTCAGGAACTCCTCACTGGCCAGAGGGGTCCTCTGTCAACACAGCGGGCCTGAGGAGCTGGAACGGCGCAGGAGCGACGTTGGGTACATAGAGGTCTGCAGGGGCGCAGCCAGAGTCTTGCTAATAGGATGCACAGGGTTGACGAATGCCCTCTGATAGTGAAAGGCCCCCTAAACACAAAGTACCGGATATGGCGCACCCGATTCGAGGAGGGTCATATTCTTGACTTTATTGTTCTTTTCCATATTTAATGCAAACAGGTCAGAAGTCACCGAAAGATATAATTTTCTCTTGTATTTTGAGGTCAACAAACTAAAAGCACGTGCATTAAATGACTGCATGGAATAAAGCGCCGGTGCTATTCATTTCACAATGGCTCAGTTAACTCACTCTAAAACGATAGTACTAAGCGGTGGGCTTTCTCGGAATTGTTGCCGAATTCTATGCAGAGATATTGAGGACCCGTGATGTACATTGTAGATCGAAATAGGTCAAAATTGTGTCAACATGGCCAAGTCACGTTCCTCTGTAGATGTTAAACCTGCGTTTAGAGTTGGGCAATTACAAGTTGTGTAAGATAGTTATGAACACACACGCTCGCCAGTCTGGACCAAAAACGACATCCGGCGTAGCATTCTCCGTATGTTGCGTGGTGTCAGCCTGCGGCAGCATTAGGTGGCGGCCACTGGATGGGCGAAAACGATGGTGTATCTGAAAAAGAAGCCTTTGAACGTTTTAGGACACCAGTGAAAACGTTTAGTCCAAATGTTTATTTCATCTATGCAATCCCTAGATTGATCACAGGAACGGATTAGTAGCGCCGCGAGGTAGTGCTGAAATATTGTGGTGGAACTGGAAAAGTAAAGGTCTAACCTTTACATTTGGTGCTGCTACACCGTCATTTTGCTCAGAGGACAACCTTAAAACGAAGCGGGTCAAGTAAACAGTCCAGTCTAGTCTTTGAACGATAAGAATTGATAGCGGAAAACTTTCGGCAGCATTATTTCACGACTGTCGACCTTGCGCGCCCGGCTTCCGCCGCCTGACGTCGGCTGCAGAATGTCGGCTGCCGGTCATAAGACGGCAAGCGCAGGCTCCAAATAATGTCGTCTAATTAGTTTTATTAGTCGATTCTGTAACAGATTGGACTTAGTGAGGCTACCGTAAGTTGTCTTCTCTTATCTTTGACCACACTTCTATCCGCCCTTTTAGCGCTGGGGAGACCTCTTACCTTTTCCGGAAACGGAGCCTGTGGGTGGCACACTGGGGGGAGGGGGGGGGGGGTACATTGCCCCCTCCGGAGGGTCAGGGACTGAAGGGCCGTTCTCTCCCAGTGTGGCTGAAGCCTGAACTGCGAGGGCGTAGCTGTGAACTGCAGGGAAGGTTCTCGAAAATTGTGTTCATCTGCCCGAAAGCTCATACAAGCGTGAAGCAGTCCCTGTAACGCAATATCAAATATACCACACCACCAGACGCTCAGGTCAGGGTATACATTGCTACCTCATGTTAAGAAAGAGCGATGTACATCAGCATCAGCATCAGAGCTACATCAGAGCATCGTCGTTTTTAACGCAGCACATATCGTAATTAACCGTAAAACAGGTCATCTAAGCTCTTACCTTGGAACTTAAATAACTACGATAGCGAACATCCGAGCGCAAACACGCAGCAACCACGGCCCCGGCGCCATTTCTACGCGTGATCGCAACATTACTGCGCGATCACAACATTACTGCTTATCAAGAACTATAAAAATGTATGAGGCCGAGGTAACAAGAATTCAATAAAATGTGTTTCTTGCGTATCGAAGCAGTCTTCCGTATTGTTTGTAGATTGGTCAACATGGTGGGGAAATATGACGTTGTTCCGTGGGAATGAAAAGCAAAATGAGAATATGGCGGCTAAACAAAACTCCATGATACGGTACATATATATGGCATGGAACATGGATGCCAGTGGGACATTGGGTTGAAGGGGATAGGGTGGGGGTTATGTTAGGTTAGGTTAGGTTAGGTTAGGTTAGGTTAGGTTAGGTTAGGTTAGGTTAGGTTAGGTTAGGTTAGGTTAGGTTAGGTTAGGTTAGGTTAGGTTAGGTTAGGCTAGGTGAGGTTAGGTTAAGTTGTTAGGCTACATTAGGTTAGGTTACATTAGGTTAGGTTAGCTTAGGCTAGGCTAGTTTAGTTTAGTTTAGTTTAGGCTATGTTCTGGACTTTTCTGGCCTGTCCGTTTCATAAACGTACCTAGACGCGATAAGAAATGTTTTTCATTGCATTAATATTGCTACCTTGGTCCCGTACATTTTTTATAGTTCTTGATAACCAGAAATGTTGTAATTACGCAACAGCAAGGCAGTGAAGGTAGGAGCATGAATCTATCTGTTTTAAGATTATTGACGGTATGTTCCGCCTTAAACACGACGAATGGTGTACGATGATTTTTTCTAAACGTTGCGTAGGCATATATATCTACACTGACGCTCAACTACAAAAAATAATCAGGGCCAAACGGTAGCACACAATCTGCAGAAAGTACGCTCCAGTCTGAGACTAACCCAAGGGTTTCTGGCACTAAACACGTCGCTCCGTCCCACTGAATCGCATTTTGTTCAGCTGACCAGTTAGTGGAGTCGCGTGCCCCACTGAGGTACAGCCTTAATGCAAACAGGCAAACTTGTGATCCGTCGTTGCTCTCATGCCGGTGCGTCATCCTCTATGCGCACATGACATTACTCGCGAGCTTCACTCAGAGGTGACACTTGAGGAGCCACTCGGCCGCCTCCGCGGTTCTCAGCACGCGGGGCATCTTGAACTGGGTGGGACTGGCGGTCGTGGTTGCCAGCAAGTGGTCCCGGAAGCGGCGGAACGCGCCCGCCGGCAGCTGACGGACGACAACCGGGCATACGCGCTCCCGCCGCCGACTGTTGTCGTAGCTCGCGTGCCGCCGTCGTAGCGTCTCGTCCACCTGCGGAGAGGCGCGAGCTGTCGGTGTGGGCCGCAGTTGTGGCCAGGCCTCCCACCAGGGGCGGGGGGTATTGCGTGGTGTAGCCGGGGCAGGTGTTTGCGTTTGAATTTTGGTGCAATATTTCGCACCTTGTTGCCTGAATGTCTTCCAAGATCTTCAGCT